ATAGGTACAGTCAACTTTAAATTAGTTTGCTTATTTTAAGGTCTATTTCTCCTTTCGACTAAATGAATCATGCAAAAAGACAAACAAGCTCGCTCGTATGAGCAAGGACATTTAATATCAACAGGATGCATGTGAAATGCTCCTATATACAACACTTCACAAATTGTGCCCAAAGATCCTTTACAGTACCATTTCGAAAGCTGTTCCCAGATGTTAAAGCCAACTGGATGCGTGTTAATTGGAAGATCTTTGACATAACACGTAACACCGTGCCAGATATTAAAGTAAATTGTGTACATTTATGACTTGGTTTGCTTCTTCTATCTCCGTAATGCGTTATTTCCTTGTCTTACGCAAGCGCCACCTATTTTATTCTCTGCCATTCCCATGTGATGACTGAAAAGAGCACAGTTAGTCACGTGGGCTGTGTTTTGCGTACGCTTGCCGAAGCTGCACGCAAGAATCAGAATTTAAAAGTGATATACTCGAAGTAAGCGCGATGCTATGAACCCAACGCAGATGTTCAATTCAGATGATTTACGAAAGAGGAATATATCCCTGTCTTTATTTACAACAGAAGATGTATCCCTACGTTTTAGGGAAGTCAAGATCTAGTCAAAATTTCTCATTCTGATCTTCACTTAGTCTTCAAATAAAGCACGCAGACATTCGATGCCAAAATAGAAAACTAAACCGCTTTTATGAGAGCTACATTCTTATGAAATGTTTTAGTCAGTGTTAGGGATATTTTTCTCGACAATGAGTTGACATGTTTGGGTGATTGATAAACCATGATCCAAGCAGACAGATTCATAAGAAAGGATGTTAAAACGCTCGTTTTTTAGGTAAATCCTTTAAGAATTTTCTTATTTTGAAGGTTTGGTAAGCACGTAGAGCATATTCTCTATTTATGATCAATCAGCTTAAGTCAGTGAAAATTGTTAAGTTTTATTACCATTTAAAGGAAGATCCTAACCGCATTTACATTTTTTATACACTGTCTGGCTTACGCGCACGTGAGCTTACGAAATATCTTGCGCCTGTGAGGTTCCAATGTATTTGCCTCTGTCCAACGTTAATCACTCAGTGCATAAAGGGAAGAAGCCATTAGCGAATCTCATAAAAGAGTGTTGGAATATATGCTTAAAATGTGGACTATTCGGTATCAACCATATTTTACACTGCACGTAATATGGAAGTTAATATATTCGACAATTTTACAAAAGGATTATCTTCCAACTTACTCGTACTTGTCCAATTTATCCACATGATAGATTTTCGTGAACAGGCTTCCTCTGCAAGCAAAACCTAAGTTAATTTAGTGCGCCTAATTTGCAGTGTCAGCCGACACTTTGTTTATTTGACGAAAATGGTAGCAGAATATTAAACAATTTCCATCGTCCACCTTAATCACATATCCGTGGCCGCTAGCCTAGCCACCTGGACACCAAGCGACCTTCTATCCGCCCTCTTCTTTCGCAGATAGAGCGTCCCCGTGCAGCCCCTAAACGCACTGTGACTTATCCCCTCACACACAAGTGACCTAGCAGTTCTGTCGCCTAAACTGTATAGTGAAACTTTCTTACTTTCTTACTTCCTTATTTTGTCTGAAGACGGGTTAGTGTCAACAGCTGAAATATGCAGACAGACAATTAGGGCTTTATGAAAAAGTTCATCCTGTGTTAACTATATTTTT